ATAGGAAGTCTTAAGTAATGAATAAATTGAAGATGTTATATTTAGGTTTCTAAAAATTGTAACATACTTTGTCTTCAATGTTATACAGCACAGAGTGGTCTACATTGGTATTTAGAACAAAGTGGTCTACATTGGTATTTAGAACAAAGTGGTCTACAATGGTATACAATGGTATACAGAACACTGTTGTCCAAAGTTTTGAAAGAAACTTAAAAACATTTCATGACAATTAAAAAAAAATATATAGAAAAATGCATATTATATTCATTTATGCAATTACAGGTCTAAACTAAAAATGTGCTAGTCATTGACATATTAACTTGTATTCAAATCTCAGAAATATATGTTACAATAGAGCCTTATATTTTCAATGCAAATATGGAAGAGAGACATTACAAAAGGGTTATTTAGGAAAGAAAAAAAATATGTCTGATTGCCATAATTGAGTTGCTTCTTTCAGTTGAAAGATTTGAGGGTTGTCTCCAATGGAAAGAGTGGAAAAAAAATTTTTTTGTTTGCATTTGATGTCCACCTGTGTGGCGAGACAAGGTCGATGTGTCTGTTGTCTGTTGGTTGATGTGTGAGTGTTTGGGGGAGGTTAGTGTGTGGCGGGTGGAGTGGTTATGGTGAGGCAAATTTTTAACGGATCCGGAAAATATATATGAAAAAATTGAAGTTTTCGTTAGCAAAAATAAGTATACAAGTTAAAAACATGAAACGTGGCATGTTGCAATAACGGTAAAATAGTCTGATCTTCCTTGCGGCCAACAAAAGTCTGACTCGTAGATTGACAATTTGTTATCAAACAAATGACATTTTCTGGGTAATTACGTTTTAGGTTTGAAAGAAAAGCCCCATTAATGTTAATCAAGTGATGGAACCCACGATGCCCCGTGAGTCATCTTTCGCTATTGTTTCTGGTACCAGTCTCCCACGTCTGCTGTGGGAACGGAGTTGCCGCCCTGTCTGAAAATTAACTCGCTCCCTTAGGAATCCCTACTTCGATTGTGTCCCTTCGCATGTTGACATGGTGGCTGAGCAGACGACTATTAGATTTCTGGAAGCAAATGAGTGCACCGGGCTGAAAGTCCGCGGAATTAATATCCAAACTAAGCATAAAAATGTGGAGCACGGTTTTTAATTTTTTTTTCCTATGCTGGTGGATGGCTAAAGGGGGGAGGGGGGTTTAAAACAAAAATTGTGAGAATAAATCTGCTGCAGACTTTCATAATGATCTGTTTTCATACAATATACAATGATCGGCTGATTTCACTGTAGAAAGGGGTAGCGTGTGCTGTTAGAATTTTTGAAATTGTGGATTGGATTGATCGAGGATAAAAAAAAAAGAAAGGACAGATGGCTAATTAATTCATTGATGGCTGACAAGCCCAAACATCTGTGATGGCACGTAGCAGTGAACGACGGTGATATGTTTGGTGATATGTTTGGTGATATGTTTGGTGATATGTTTGTGGATATGTTTGGTGATATGTTTGGTGATATGTTTGTGGATATGTTTGGTGATATGTTTGGTGATATGTTTGGTGATATGTTTGTGGATATGTTTGGTGATATTTTTGGTGACATGTTTGATGATATGTTTGTGGATATGTTTGGTGATATGTTTGGTGATATGTTTGGTGATATGTTTGGTGATATGTTTGGTGATATTTTTGGTGATATGTTTGGTGATATGTTTGGTGATGTGTTTGGTGATATGTTAGGTGCATGTTGCGTCTACTCATGGCCACTGTTGTGTATTTTGGTGATATGATATAATTTAGATGTTACGTGAGAAGTCAAGGTTAAACTCGAAAAGTTTAATAAATGCGAAATGTTAGTTTGGTAGGCTTGAGAAAAGTCAGACAAGTCTTTAACAGCGGCGACTAGCGAGGGCTGGAAAAGGGTGATTTTGGCAAAGGGTGATAGTAGACAAAAGGGTTATGGAGACAAAGAATAATGTAGGAAAACGGCGATTTAGGCAAAAGGTGATGTAGGCAAAGAGTGATAGAAGGCAAAGGGTGATGATAGAAACTTGGTGATGTAGGCAAAGGGTGATGTAGACAAACGGTGATGTAGGCAACCGGGGGGGGGTGGTAAGGTAATGGGTAACGCTAGGGAAAGGTTGGTGTGGGTAAAGGGTGATGGGTGGAAAAGGGTGCATACATATTTATAAAAAATTAATAGCCATTACAATCCTATAAAAGCCATTAGTTCACCTACTAAGAGCCACCGTACATCAACTAAACTTGAAACATTTGTCATATACACCGGCGCCATTGTAAAGTAGGATGAATTTACTATGGTAGGTCTCTCATTCTCAACCACTCACTTTGCTATGGTAGATCTCTCATTCTCACTCACTCACTTTGCTATGGTATATCTCTCATTCTCACTCACTTACTTTGCTATGGTAGATCTCTCATTCACACCATCTCACCTTCCTATCTTATGTCCACAGGCTGTCGTTTTCACACATATAAACTTTCTGATACACGGCTCCCATATCAGATTTTTATTGACAGTTCAATACAAAGAGCCGAAATAATTCATACAATTCTTTCACCGTTTGCCATTTATCTTCGTAGTTTTTACCACACTCATCTTTAAAAAAAATTAGTTTAGGGATTGAGATACGCATAGAGAGAAAGAAGAGAGAAAAAAGGAAAAAAAACAACAATGTCTATATAATCCTTGTAAGATAAATTTCGGCCAGACTAAGCCTCATTTCGGCCACGCTAAGCCCCATTTCGGCCACGGTAAGCCTTTTCACGGCCACTCGTATCCTAAAATCAACAGTGGTTTTCATTAAGTAGTCTTCACTTCACCTGTCAAACAAATGACGCATCCTCCAGATTTAACACTTCATTTACAAAAGTGTTATTTATGTGGCCCGAATGTGACTCCGTCACTGTGGAATTCCCCGGTGTCTCGTGTTTTATCAGTGGACTGCGCGCTCTTTTTTTTAACTTCCGGTCTCGTCTGCGTGAAGTGATTTTAGCTGTAACGCGGCCTGCAGAGTTACCGCAACATGGGGGAAATATTTCAATGATTTATCAGAAGAGCGTGCCCATCAGTGGGGGGCAGTTTGAACGTGCCCATCAATGGGGCAGTTTTTAAGTCAACAACTTGAAGTCATAATCTGGACGAAGATGACTTTTAGTGGTTTTACACGATCAAGGCCAACGCCCCCCCCCCCCGACCTAAAAGTGTAATAATAAATAATAAGTAATTGAACAGATTATCATGTTTGGCCGATGCCGATAAATCGACTGCCGATTTGAACGTGCCCATCAATGGGGTAGTTTTTAAGTCAACAACTTGAAGTCATAATCTGGACGAAGATGACTTTTAGTGGTTTTACACGATCAAGGCCAACGCCCCACCCCCCCCCGACCTAAAAGTGTAATAATAAATAATAAGTAATTGAACAGATTATCATGTTTGGCCGATGCCGATAAATCGACTGCCGATAATTATTTTTTATGTAGCTTTGCAATGCCTATTTTAGGGGCCTAATTATCATTAATTGTCGGTTATTTATAACATTATTTTTTAAGAATTATAATATCGAAGAATACAAAATAATTAATGCCAATTCCTTGATTTGATATGTGGATTACTGCCAGGGCCGACCCAAGGGCCGACCCAACGGTTTCTGCAAGCTTTCTTCCGGCGCCCCTTTTAAATAAATTTCATAAAATTTTGTGCCAGGCAAAAACTGGTGATTAGGTAATGAGTTTATTACTTAGGTTGATCTTTTAACAAACAATGAATAATATAATTATTTTCTTAACTTCTATTTGGATAGTTTAAAACAATTAGCCTACCGATTGCATTTTTTTTCTCCAGCTTTTAGATCAGCAAATCTTTTTATTGCAGTTAAAATTTTTCTTTCATCGCGTCCACAGGCAATGACTGGAAGATCGTTGATGGCGCCGTAAGCTTATGGGGCCCTAAGCACATGGCGCCCCGGTAAATTAAGCTGGCCCTAGTACGGCAGTGTTTCCCATAGTAGGTTGAACACCTTGGGGCACTTTGAAGATTATGAGGGAGTGATGGGAAAAGATTACTGACTCTGAGAGATGAGGGATGGGAAAACATGACTGACTCTGAGAGATGGGGGATGGAAAAAGATGACTGACTCTAAAAGATGGAGGATGAGAAAAAGATGACTGACTCTGAGAGATGGGGGATGGAAAAAGATGACTGACTCTGAGAGATGGAGGATGAGAAAAGATGACTGACTCTGAGAGATAGGGGATGGAAAAAGATGACTGACTCTGAGAGATGGAGGATGGGAAAAGATGACTGACTCTGAGAGATGAGGGATGGGAAAAGATGACTACTCTGAGAGATGAGGGATGGAAAAAGATGACTGACTCTGAGAGATGGGGATGGGAAAAGATGAATACTCTGAGAGATGGGGATGGGAAAAGACGACTGACTCTGAGAGATTGGGATGAGAAAAAATGACTGACTCTGAGAGATGGGGGATGGAAAAAGATGAATACTCTGAGAGATGGGGAATGCAAAAAGATGACTGACTCTGAGAGACGGGGGATGGGAAAAGATGACTGAATCTGAGAGATGGGGGATGGGAAAAGATGACTGACTCTGAGAGATTGGGGAATGGGGAACGATGACTGACTCTGAGAGATGGGGGGATGGGAAAAAATAAAAAGGTTGGGAAACATTGGTTCACGGGGAGTAGGTCATTAGGCAAACCATAATAATTGTTATAATTGGTTGAAGGAATAGATGCCCGTGCTATTGAGCTACTGATTTGAGCCTTGGGCTCCAGATGCGCACCATAAGGCTCAGATCACGAGTGCCATAAAGTCATTCTCAAGTTCAAGGATGTTTTTAGAACAACTTCTTATACTCAATTATTTTTTTTGTTTGAAAAAACATAATTTTTTTTTGAAAATTCAAGTATCCCTTTTGCTTAAAAAGTATGTTTGTATCTCAATCGGTCACAATTCTCATCTCTTCCCCAGGAATCAAGATGCCGATTAAATCAAGTGATAGTGAGACTGACGCCCTGTCTCTGTCCGACCAGATGATTGACCTCTACGACGATTCAGAAGATGAAGACGACGACATGTTTTCTTCAGAGGCGGATGATCTGCCGGACTCGACTACCGGAGAAGACGACAAGGGCCAACAGAACAACAATTGCGACTCTATGGGACAAGACCTGGGCAAAAAATGCCGAGACGACAAAGCGTCGCTAGACGGAAGCGGTCAGAGAAAGAGGGGACCTAAAAAGAAGGCACTGACCAAAACAAGACAGGTCAAGCTTAAGGTCAGGAGGGTCAAGGCCAATGCCAGAGAACGTAACAGGATGCACGGTCTGAACTCGGCGCTGGACGAATTGAGAAACCATGTGCCGTGTCACTCCAAGACCCAGAAGCTGTCTAAGATCGAGACGCTGCGTCTCGCCAGGAACTACATCCACGTCTTGGCGGAGATTCTCAAGTCGGGCGTCCGACCAGACAGCGTCACGTTCGCCAAAGCGCTTTCGAGAGGCCTGTCACAGAACACCATGAACATGGTGGCCGCGTGCCTGCAGCTGAACCCACGGACTCTGCTCCCCGAGTCGGCCTACTCCAAGCCCTATCAGTTTATGTACGAGAACTCCATAGATTTTGCTGGCAGGTATCCGCCTGACCCGTACGCCATGTTCGCCTTTCAGCCCATCGGCTGCAACACAGATCTCCCTCTAGTCGGGGCGCACCAAGGCTTTGGTTCGTGTCAGCAGATCATGCCGTACACGCCCCTGCCGAGCAGTTGCTCCCCTACTTCCGTGCTGCCGTATCAGTACATTTCCGGCCACGAGCAGCAGAGCGCACAGTTCAATCCCGGCAACCCAGCGATAGATGGACTCTGCCCGCCAGGAAATTTCTTGGCATGTGACGTCCGCGAGTCTGACAGTTTTAACGGTTCGCATTTTTCACCCATAAACAAACGGCGACCTTCACCTTGTCAAAAATCATCCGCTAACTTAGCAATCAGCTCCTGTCTGGCTTCACCGACTTCCGCGCCAAAAAATCGTCAAGGCGACGGTCAGATTTCGTCATGTTCTCATTTCGGTGTACCCCATGAGCCAGATTTGCGTACGCCGCCTTTGAGCCATATCAGACCTGTGACGTCAACTACCAACAATCATTGTTTCACCGACGCAGTGCTGGGCCTACAGTCCATGAGGAGACCTGCACTGGGCCCCGTGGCGTGCCGAAACGGTCAGCTTAAACCAAACGCCTGCTTCCAGACAACTTCCGACCGGCTACCGGCTTCTTGCGCCCAGTCCTCAAGCGCTCTGCCACTTCCGGACGACCTGGTGGACATTGATCCAGAATCCACCATTGAAAGCGACCTGGCGATGATCACCTCGTCCGACAGTATATTTCAGCTAAATCTTCCATGCTGATCGGACAGCTTAATACTGCTGCTTGGACAGCTGAGCACTGCTGATTGAAAAGACTGTTGGCTTAAATGTAACTGATTTTATGTTGCTAAATTACATGTGGTGTGAGATGTTTAATGTTAGCAAACATCGCCCCACGGGGCGACTTATATTAGTACGGTTATATGTTGACCCATCTGGACGTTTGTGCACACAATCGTATGTGTCCATTATCGTATGTGTACATCATTGTATGTGTCCATTAGCGTATGTGTACATCATCATCCGTACACCATCGTGCAATATGTTTCTATTCAGTTTTCTGGGGGCTGACATAACAATGACACTGCTGAATAAATCGTGGGGGGATCTAGAGTTTTACAAAATGGAGGAGGGAGTAACCCCGCTCGGGATGATCGCCTGCTCGACTTTTTCATGGAACTGTTTTCTATCCTTCAGGACCAGTCCTAGATCAACCAGTGGTCAAATGCATCAGACATTTTTAACGTGAAAATAATTAGTCTATCTTTCGGTGGCCTTACCATTAAAAACGAATTTTTATTCCGGCGATTAAATAAATACTTTAAAAAACGAATGCTAATGTTGGCATTCTCAAATAAGCAATACGATCTTAAGATCAATAAAGGTTCCATCAGCCATTAGCAAAACAATGTCTCAAAAACAGATGGTCAAGTCTCTTGTTGATGTGATGTATGATCAAATGCCAAGCCGACAAGCATCAAAATGCCTTAGTATACAAGCAATATCTAAATCTATTGAGGTGTAAATAATATAAAAGTTGAGTCGTAGTTTTGGCAAGGAACTACGTCAGACAATATGGGACATTAAAAAAATTGTTGTTTTGTTGAGCAATTAATTATCCATTCCTGATTTTATGCTTACTAAATATTTTTGTTTTGTTGAATAATTATCCATTCCTCATTTTACAATTACCAAATATTTATTGTTTTCTTGAAAAAAGTATCCCTGCCTGATTTTATACTTAACAAGTAATTATTGTTTCGTTGAAAAAGTATTCATTCCTCGTTTATTTATATATTGCCAACTATTTATTGTGGTTTGCAATTCAATGGTCTACTTCACTTTATACATGACCAACTTCTTATTGTTTTGTTGACTCTCGCCAGTTGGATAGAAGTGCAATAAATTTATTCTACTTGGTATTTCTCGCTCATCAGCCCTTGCTATTGGGGAGATGATCGTATTGGTTTTTTTTTTTTTTTTTTTTTTTGTTTTTTTTTTTTTTGGGGGGGGGGGGTGAGTGGTAGGGTGGGAGTGGTGGATTGTGTTGGTGGATTGTGTTGGTGGATTGGGTTGGTGAATTGTGTTGGTAGATTGGGTTGTTGATTGGGTTGGTTGATTGTGTTGGTGGATTGGGTTGGTGGATTGGGTTGGTGAATTTGATTGGTGGATTGGGTTGGTGGATTGGGTTGGTGGATTGTGTTGGTGGATTGTGTTGGTGGATTGTGTTGGTGGATTGGGTTGGTAGATTGGGTTGGTGAATTTGATTGGTGGATTGGGTTGGTGTATTGGGTTGGTGGATCGGGTTGGTGAATTTGATTGGTGGATTGGGTTGGTGTATTGGGTTGGTGGATTTGATTGGTGGATTGGGTTGGTGTATTGGGTTGGTGGATCGGGTTGGTGAATTTGATTGGTGGATTGGGTTGGTGTATTGGGTTGGTGGATTGGGTTGGTGGATTGTGGGGCGGCGGGTCGTGGAGTGGTGGGGTGGTATTTTTTATAATAAGTTTTAAGCCCCATTTTTCCCCACTCCAACCCCGCACCGGTACACACACACACAAACTTATGCAAACACACAACCGCACACACCCCCACACGCATACAGTCATACATTTATACAAAACATATATACACACACGCACACACACACACACATCCAAAAACACACATGCACACATGAATCATTCGATGACCATTACGTACTTACATAAAAACTATAGGGAAGGAAGAGAGAAAGCGCAAGAGAGAAAGGGAGAGAAAGAGAATGGGGGCGAGGGAGAGAGAGACAGAGATAGGAAGAACGAGGGAGAAAAAGGGAGACATGGATGAACATGGAAATCAAAAATTCATACCATTAACCCCCTACTAGAACCATTGAATGACATAATTATTGATCTACGTGGAATATTATTACATGACACCATGTTTTTTTTTTTTTTTTACCTGTTCAATTATTTTCATTTCTTTTTTACCAGGTTTTTGAAGCAGCTCCGATGTAGACAAATTTTGAGAGCTGCGCTCTTAGCTCCGGAATAATTAAAAATGAGGTTGGGTTTTTTTTTTTGACACCATGTTTTTTTTTTTTTTTACCTGTTCAATTATTTTCATGTCTTGTATACCAGGGATTTGAAGCAGCTCCGATGTAGACAAATTTTGAGAGCTGCGCTCTTAGCTCCGGAATAATTAAAAATGAGGATGGGTGTTTTTTTAAGGGGGGATGGGTGGGCTAACTGGTTAAAGGGCATGTGTTTATAATTGTCTCTAACTCATCGTATTAACTATGCAATGGAAATGTATGTGCCAGCAACATAGCTGGTAGAAGAATCGGGCAACATAGCTGGTAGAAGAGTGGGGCAACATAGCCGGTAGAAGCGTGAGGCAACATAGCTGGTAGAAGCGTGGGGCAACATAGCCGATAGAAGCGTGGGACAACATAGCTGGTAGAAGAATGGGGTAACATATCTAGTAGGGGGGGCAACATATCTGGTAGAAGAATGGGGCAACATAGCTGGTAGAAGAATGGGGAATCAATTTTAAAAAATAGTTAAAAATAACAATTAAATGTTTAAAGTTTAAATTATATATTATTAAAATACTTTTAAGTTAAATTTTATAATAAATGTTGGAGCTTGGGGCAGTAAGAAATGTTACTAGTTCAAGCTCAGATTGAGCTCCCGGTTAAAAGACCACGCTCCAGAGTTCAGAGCTCCATTTCCAATCCCTGGTGTATACTCCTAATGACAAACTGTTTAAAAAAAAACGTATGTGGCGAATGTCTGACATTCCGATCTGAAGTATGTTTTTGGTAATTGATAAAGAAAGATAGAGTTTTACCTGATTCAAGTCACCTTTACTGGCTACAAGTCTACACCTTTACTGGCTACAAGTCTACACCTTTACTGGCTACAAGTCTACACCTTTACTGGCTACAAGTCTACACCTTTACTGGCTACAAGTCTACACCTTTACTGGCTACAAGTCTACACCTTTACTGGCTACAAGTCTACACCTTTACTGGCTACAAGTCTACACCTTTACTGGCTACAAGTCTACACCTTTACTGGCTACACGTCTACACAGATTTTTCAAAATTGCTTAGGTCTACTTATGGTAGGAAATGAAATAGCTTTTACTATAGAACATTTATGGTCACAAAATTGTTATTGTTGAAATTAAACTTTCTCGACCTGGAATAGACTTGTTGATTGTCGTCTGCCTATTTGATTCTATTACTGCCTGTATCCCCCCTGTGCCTGGTCTTTTACTTTACCTGTAATATATCGATCAGTATTGATGGTGTTCCAATCAAAATTTTATCACCTAATGACTTATTTGGAATAATTAAAAAGTAGAACCGAAAACGACTTCAATTTTATTATTTTTTATTTTTTAGTTTGTGTTATTGAAATGTTTCAATTGTTTGTTCTATGCATGTCAACTTCAGCTAAATCAGAACGCTGAATAATTCCTCTATATTTATACAAGAATTGATTGCCACTCACATAGGGACGTGGCTAAAATTTGTGTACCACGTGACACTGACTGAGCTGTTTAAAAGTAAGTTCTTTTGATATTTATTAAACTATTTTGTTACACTTATCACCGGATATTCCCTGAGTTCCAACTAATTTGTATTGCGTTCATAAAACGTTGCCTAGTTCAACAATTCAGGCGATTCAGCAGATCGGTGAGTAACTCAATCAAATTAAATGTAAAAAATTAAATTAAAAAAAGAAGAAAAAAAAAGATCCACAGTTCTGAACGAAAACAAGTAACCGCAGGCAGGAGCTGCATGCACACCCACCCCGGTACATGCACACCCACCCCGGTACATGCACACCCACCCCGGTACATGCACACCCACCCCGGTACATGCACACCCACCCCGGTACATGCAAACCCACCCCGGTACATGCACACCCACCCCGGTACATGCACACCCACCCCGGTACATGCACACCCACCCCGGTACATGCACACCCACCCCGGTACATGCACACCCACCCCGGTACATGCACACCCACCCCGGTACATGCACACCCACCCCGGTACATGCACACCCACCCCGGTACATGCACACCCACCCCGGTACATGCACACCCACCCCGGTACATGCACACCCACCCCGGTACATGCACACCCACCCCGGTACATGCACACCCACCCCGGTACATGCACACCCACCCCGGTACATGCACACCCACCCCGGTACATGCACACCCACCCCGGTACATGCACACCCACCCCGGTACATGCACACCCACCCCGGTACATGCACACCCACCCCGGTACATGCACACCCACCCCGGTACATGCACACCCACCCCGGTACATGCACACCCACCCCGGTACATGCACACCCACCCCGGTACATGCACACCCACCCCGGTACATGCACACCCACCCCGGTACATGCACACCCACCCCGGTGCATGCACACCCACCCCGGTACACGCACACCCACCCCGGTACATGCACACCCACCCCGGTACATGCAAACCCACCCCGGTACATGCACACCCACCCCGGTGCATGGACACCCACCCCGGTACATGCAC